CCGCAGCGCCTCAGCCGCGGGCGCCGAAGCGCAGGGGAGCGCGCGGGCTCTGGGCCGGCGGGGGCCGCGTCGTTCTCCTCGAGTGCGGAAGTCGCGCCGCGTCTCGAAACCTCTACCCCTGCTCGAAGGAACGGGCAGCAGAGCGCGAAGAGGAGATCGCGTCAGCAGATCCACAGAGGGAATCCCTCTCGGTGGAAGTCGGGTTTCTCACAGCCAGCAACTGCAAGCTATGTTCCCACCTGCCACTCGCACGCTACGGAGAGATGCTAAAAGGTGTTCCTCCGGTAACCTTGATGCTTTCTGTCCACCTGAACGGCTTGTCAGCTGTGGCTCCTTAACGCTCCAAGCGAAAGTCACGGGTATTTTCCATCGCTAAATTCTATGTCATGCAGCCCATCCCCCTGCAAGCAGCACAGTTGCTCCCTCCCGCCCATTTACCAGTGTTTGTCCAATCTCCTAAACGTACAAAGCAAGGAGGGCTTTCTCACGTCCCACGGGGTATTGCGGGAGAACTAACTGTGCCAGCCAGCCATTTTCCCCCAGCTAGTTCACCTTTACCCTTCTGTTAAAATGTAACTGTTAGGTTTTGTGGGTTTTGGTGGCGTTTGGGTTTTTTTTTTAGTCAAGGTGTACTCCATCTTCCTCAATATTGGTAGTCTTGTCTATCTCTGCGTGTGCTTCGTTTATTTATATAACAGTCCTAGGGATAGTCTGTTACCTATTTATAGAAAAGAGGACAAAGCAGAAGGCATGGAGTAGATGTAATAATACCCCCCCCGAAATCAATACACATTTCAGTAATTCTTTGAAGACATTCAAGTGACCTTCCCGTGTAACAAAGTCAGTACTTCAAAAACAAGCACAAATAAGTTCCTCCCTTAAAGTCAGTTACATTTAGCACCTCACTGAGTTTGTCAGTCTTAGCAAAGGCCCCAGTATGTATATAAGTAGGAGTGCAGATTAATCTCCATGCTGCATTAGAATAACTGACAAGGAATAGATTTCCTTTTCCTAATCAACAGCCACAGGTAAGATTCCACAGAACCAGCAGTGAAGGTAGCTCATTTAATCTTCTAAGTTTGTCATAGAAATGGGTCAAGAGAATATAAGTAACATGGGAGGTAGGACTGACCCCTAAGGAAACATGCAACTGGGGGCTTATCAGACAAAAGCACTGGGAAATGAAAACAGAGATGGCAAAGGTAACTATACACTAGATGCACTACTGAAGAGAAAGGCTTATTTTTGCTGTACCCAGTCAGGGTGAACTATTACAGGTTTCTTTGATCCAAAATACTTGTCCTGGCACAGAGTTCAAGCTCAAAACAAGAACCTCTGCTGGGACTTCTCTGCACTGTCTCAGAAGCAGTACACAAATAGTACTAGAGCAGTCTTCAGTTCACCTCCGAGCATTGCATCTGAGCACAGTGGGCATGCAGTCATAGGTGCACTAACCCTTCTCTAAGTTGTCCCAGCTCCTCTTTTGAGTATGTGTGTGCTGGGGCATGGCTCTCCACATACTCCCTCCATCTTAGGAAGTAACTAACATATCACATGCAGAATCAAACCTCACTGGGGCTGTGTCAAGTCATAAGAAGTCCCTGTAATGAGACTTCCGATTACATTAGACTATACGTCAGACTATACACATCATGTAACAATAATTTATTTAGCATTGCCTGAACAAGAGTGAAAATGCAAAGACAGTCTGAGGAAGCCACAGGTTTCATACCGTCTGAATATAGAGATGTTATTTTCACCTTAAAAAAAGCTCAAGAGGCTAAACTATTTAAAGTAACCACTACTGAAGAATGGGAGAAAAATTCAGATGCTTGTAATGCAGTGTATCTGAGGGTATTGGGACTCTTAAGATTCCAATTCAGGAAACCTGGCCAAATATCTAATCCTGTTCTTATGAGGTTGGATCAAACAATAGTGAAAATATTTAGACTACATACAAATGTTTCTTCCACCAAGTAAGGGTGTCAGCTGAAGAGTTTCACCAATTGCCAGAGCACAGTTCACAAGAGTTGGATGTAATAGAGAAAAACTTTTCCCAAAATGAGGATGTAAATTTCTTGATTTAATTTGGTTTATCATTCCATTTGCAAACTACATAACTATTCAGTTATAGTGTATCTGAAATTAGCAGTATCCTCTGCAGTCTTCAATGTCAAATATCCTAAATTAAATCAGCCAAGAGTAAGAAAACAGAAATTTCAGAAGTTACTACCCATGCTACTCTTCATCATTAACGAGTAGACAAAGACAGTGGTGAACCTGTTATGTGTAGGAATTACAAAATGGGGTTTAACACAAGAAAATGGGGTCATGTTACCTAGAAGTTTTACAGCTCACCTACATTAGTCAGCACCTTTTCTGCTGAAATCCATTATTAGCCAAGGCAGGATCATACACAAAAGCCTTAATGCACGGCAAAGGTGCACACAGGATGTTACCTAATGCCCCCCATTGTCAATGGAATTCCCTCCTTTAACATCAAGGGGAATTTCATTAGCCTGTTAGGAGCAAGAAAAGTTTCTGTATTTTGGTGGTTTTGTTCACAGTGCATGTACCATTATGAGCTTTTTTTCTTTACTTGTCACATTCATTGCCACAGTGTTTATGGCAAAAAATTACCGAACAACAGATAGGAAAAACTAACGCATGCCTAGAGGAGCACAAAACCATTTTACATAAGCAGTTCTGATAGATATAATGTAATAATCTGTATGAAATAACTGTGGCAATTTGTACTTGGATTTTATTATGGAATGAAAGGTCACATGTCACAAAAGTGTTCTGTAATAAAATAATTTTCAGCAATCTAAAGAAAGAAGCACTTTTTCTGAGTTCTGTGGATGCAATGTATCTGTTCTCTTTCCCTTGCCCTCCCTTTCTTTTCAGTCACTGCATAACAAAGTCCAGAACTAAAATTGGCTGTTTACTATTAACTAAATTATAGAATGAGATACATTATTACAAATTGGAAACGAACTACCTAAATCTGTTGTTCAGTATTTG